CAAGATCTGCACCCACTCCATTGACTGTGAGAAATAAACCAAAGGAATGTTGTAATTATTTGCGATTCAGTTTTTTGGTACGCATATTAAATAGCTTGGTCAAAATTAATAATAAAATAATCACAAATTAACTGCTACGTACAGACAGCCCGATAGATAAAGAATCTTATATAAAGCTCAAATTCACTTGGAGAAATTTGACAAACTCGGGCTACTCGTCCTGTCTCTACAGACAAATAAAATCTGATGATTTAAGCGCATAAAATGCTTAGCGCATTGCAAAGCCTGTGATTGCGCGTTTATCAAATTTCGCAACCTAATCAGCAAAAATACAAGGCGAGTTGTAGGTAATTCAAATTTAATAACCCCGTAAAAAGTTTTCAGAAATATATTGATTACAATAGGCCTATTGTTACAAATACGCACAAGGCACCAGCAATATCAAGTACTTCCTATTCAATATGCGTACCATATTTTTTTTTATCAATACGAAAATTGAATGGTGTATATGAAAATAAATTGAAATGATAGACATCTAAGTGTTTTTGTTTTATTTGAAAATAGCCTGAATGATTTTGATTTTAACTAAAAACTGATAATTAGAGAATCAAGTTTCACTCAAAATTAATTTGTGAATTAAAGATTTTTAAGAAAAATAGCAACTTGATACAATGTGCACTGGCGATTTATAGGGTATATCAACCATAGTCATATTATAACTAATCTCTGATGTCAACATACATATATTATTGAATCCATATTACGCCATTACATTTAATAACGTACCCATTGACGCAAGAATATTTCCAAATTTAATAAAATATTTTCTTAGTATTTCTTTTAAATGTGCTATATACCTACCTCTTTTTAAGGCTTGAAACAAATCCGATCCCAGCTAATTTAGACCTATAAATAAATAAATATTTCCAACACTCACACCAATTAGCCTAGCCCCAAAGTAAGCACTGTAAGGCTTGTGTTATGGGATGCTAGGGTAACGGATAGAATACATATACTGTACATATATAAGCATATTTATATAGGAATACGTATAAAATTATCAATGACTGGGAGTACAAATGCTCGTATTCATCACACAAACATCTGCCCCCGCCGGGATTCGAACCCGGGACCTCTGGAGACGGCGACACCATGAAACCCGGCGTACAAACCACTCGGCCACAGAGGTCGTCAAAGGAGATTGCTCAAATTGGCCTAAATGCACAAAAAATATTGACATACACGGTAATTCTTGGCGTAATTTATAATTTAATTTACAGTCATTAGATTTCAACGGACACCTTCGTATAATATATTTCCTTTAAAAAGGACTTTTAATTTTACCGGTTTGGAAAACATACGAATCATTTTTAATGGCTATGGGTGTAGTAACATTCAGCCAAAGACTAGTCGAAATTGTTTATATAACATAAAAACAAACCTTTTTTGTAAAGATCGATAAAATAAATCATTTTTTTTTATTACACTGTGGTATTAATATCCACAACTATATTATCATTTTCACTAGATGCAAATGTGCTCAGACAATTATTATAGATGGTAGGCGACATCATAAAGTCTACTGCCATACATTTTTCGAGAAACACCTCCATAAACACATTATAATCTGTATATATGTTAAACTTTAAGGTATCTATCTATGGGCCTACGTTCCCTGACTATAAATTAATAAATAAATAAAATTATAAGGTGTGATACACTAATAATCTAAAATATGGTTATCTTAAAAACATAACAAAAATAATGAAGCTACTGAATATATGGCTATAGAACCTAAATCTCTTAGCTTTCTTTGGTTAACGAGAGTTTAAAAATTCTCTCTAATCTGTGGCTCATTCATAATCATCACACAGTTTCTGTCACAGAGTACTTTATTATAACCGGAAATGACATATGATTTTAAAAGTTACTCTTATGCATTAACTTTAAAAACAGGCAACTATCTGTTAATGTACATGCTCTATATACCTGAATCTAATCCATAATTTCGGTACTTGGCTTGATTTCCCTAGTTTACTATATAACTTATTTGTTGTTTATTATTTTAATATGTTCAGTGTATATGGTTTATAGAAGTTCTCAGGGGTGTCCGTCAATAATATTCGTTTCTACAGTAATTTATATATAATTTCGAATCTAGGAAACAATCTATCATGATTATTGGTTTTTAGGCCAAACATGTATGGAAGCTGAGCAATCTCCTTTGAATATATGTACCTATATTTGAATACTGTGAAATAATGAATAGCTATGCTTCTCAATAAAAAAATGGACATGTGCTGTTCCCATACGATACGATAGAAGTGAAACCTATAAAAATGTGAACACGTAAGTTGTATTAAAATTCAACTCTCTAGGTCAAAATTAATATTTTATACCTAGGTAACGCTGAAAATGTTTAGAAAATGAAAAACGGCTTAATGTAGAAAGTTGCCAATACTTTTATTGTTTACCGAAGTAATCTCCGTTTCTCTCTACACATCGTCACATTCGATGAAACCATTGAGAAAAGCAGTGGGCCCCTTCTTCCTTAGGAATCTCTTCTATGGCATTTTCGTACGCTTTCACCGCATCTTCAAGGGCTCGTAAAGCGAATACCTAGAATTATATCTTTAGTTCTTGGGAATAATAATAATCTTCAGGTGCGGTCGCAGCCTGAAATTTTGGAGGGGGTCACTCACTACACTAATAAAAAATAAATATTCAACAGTCCGTTTTGCGGAGTGCGCTGAAGCATTGTCGTGGCATTGTCGTGGTGAAGGAGGATCTTGCTTCGAGGGCGCTGCTTTCGATTTTTTTCCAAGACAACAGGTAAACAGCGATTGACGTACCAGTCTGCAGTAACTGTCCTTCCATCTTCTTGCATAACTGTCGCGAAATGACCTTTCCGACTAAAGAATGAGGCAGTCATCTTTTTTCCTTGACTTCTTCCTTTGGGAAACACCCACTGAACTGATTATATTTTGGTTTCGGGTTCGTAGCAATATATCCAGCTTTTATCACCTGTGACGATGTCAAATATAGCATTTCAGTCATCGCCGTTGAACTTATCTAACATTTGACGACACCAGTCCATGCGAAGGTGTTTCTGGTCGTCGGTTAAAGTATGGGGAATCCATCTGGTACAAAGTTTCCTGACGCCTAAATGTTCGTGTAATATTTTTTGAACTTGACTCATACCTAGGCTTGCCCGTATCTGCTGATAGGTCACTCTCTTATCTTCCTCTATCATTCGTCGCACAGCACTGATGTTAACTTCAGTAGTCGCTGTTAAAGGACGTCCCTCACGCGGATCATCATTGACATTGCTATTATACGTTCACGCTTAAACTCGTTAAACCACTTGTAAATAGTGGCACGAGATGGTATTCTATGTATTTAAGTTATATTTTTCGCAAACAAAAATAAGCTTTATAACTTAGACACCAAGTTTCATAAATTACTTGCAATTGCACGCTCCATCTAAGGAATTTTAGGCAAACTATTTCATTATCAGTGTCGTCATAGAGTCACATAGCAGTCGTATAAGCCGCTAAGTGAATGTGTAGTGGTCATATAGATGTCGTTTTCATCGAGTATTTATGTTTATTACCGCTGCTTTACGGAATTTTATCGAATAACCAGTATTCATCACAACTTTTACATGGGATTTTGTTGTAAAGTTATTATATTTTTGAATTTTAAAATTATATTTTTTTTAGCAACTTTGTAAAACCGTACAATTAAATTTTATATATACCTATGTGTGTTTATGATATTGAGGTAGTAAATAAGTACTAGCGAACTAAACTAGTCCATAAATATTTTGTTTTATTAGAGACAAGTTGTGATCTGGAAATGTCAATATTACGGCTCGATTTGGGATTACTTAGAGAATTTTTAGTAAAGTGTAAACAAAATACGTCACAACAAGCACAACGGCTGTTTCTATGTTCTGTGAACCGCGCAATGTCGAAATATTCCGAACACCATAAGCTGACGTACCACTCACACTGGAATTGTATTAAGCTACAACCCTATGACCAAGGGAAATAGAGATATATATTAAAACAAAGATTATGTAATGTTAATTACATTATATAGTCATTTTGCAGTGTACTTACTGGTACTTACCAATAACAGTACCCATAACACGAATTAATGTCGATAAGCGTCAAATGTCAGTTTTGTATGAAATATTTTTTAATCTCGTTACGTCCGTTGTGCGCATTTGAATATGTACTTCGAATTCGATATTGGTTCGTGCTCCTCCTTACTTACATATTGTTTTCTTTTCGACATTGTTTTATTATCTCTTTAGAATCTGCGGCGGAGCGCCGGTCTCGTGTCATTGTGTAAAACACAGTTCGTTATGTGCCCTAAATATGGTCGAGCAGGGGCTGGTACATAACGTCATGCTCGTGAACGATTGCTGCCAACGAAGATTCATCTGCTAGCTCATGTATTTATTTCTCTACTTTTTTATTTTGTTAACAGACTTCATAAGAAGTAGGTTCTCAGTTTGACCCGTATGTTGGTATGTGTTAGTCAGGGTTTATCTAGCGTTTAGCTCGACCGATTATGATGCGGTTTTCGGAAAATATTCTTTTACATAGTGATATTTTATTTGTGTGTTCCTAATCACGGCACGCTTGATAACTTGTTTGACGCACGAAGGCGCCTTCCTCACCCGCTTGTTTCGTTTCTGTACCGAATCTGTACAGATTCTTCAGTACAGATTCGGTACAGAAACGAAACAGGCTCCAGACGGAGAGGAGATTCCCCCCGTGGAGAGATGCCGTGCGCCTGGAATACCTCTAAAGGCAATTCTCGGCTTGAGGTCCCCATAGGATCTCATCATCCTTAAACCCGGTGACGCTGTAAATATGTCATCTGCGACCAACAACATGCATACACAGTAAAAAAAACGCCGTTTTTTCATCGGTTAAAAATACGTTGGGATGGGGAGACTGTTCGTCTACAAAATAAATAATTAACCATTTTACATTGAAACATTTGTATTTTTGTCATTTTCACTTACAAGGAGTTATATCACAAATAAACAGTGAAAACTAATGATTCACAGAATCTAATACCACGGCAATGGGAAGATCATTTTCATTTTGACACAATTCGTCATTCAATTATGGCAAATTGTTAGCAAGCAAAAACAAACATTGCAAGAGCTTAACTAAAGTACTAAACAAGATTCTTATGATTTAAATAAAAGCTTAAACTTACAATCTAACACGTTGTTCAAGATTTAACAGCGTTTTGTATCAAGAAGCTAGTTCACTGTTAATTCGCTCACGTCTTAGATGATGCGTTTTAATGAAGAGTAGGTACGAATTTTCGATATTAAATATAAAAGTCAAAGGTAAAAACATAAACCTATAAACGAAGAATAAGCATAGATTATTTACTCCATGTTTTGTCTGTTTATTGAATTACAAATGTCCTATGAATGCAACGATATTAAAAACCCTAGATACACAATAACGAACAAAATCGTGGCCGAATCCCTACAATATTAACAAAACACGGCACAACTAGTCTAACCGTATTCCTAGTTTATAAATAAGAGGGTTTACGGGAAAACACTCGGGTTTATAAGAATTTGGCGCACTTCCGACAATACTGGTATGCTGGTGCTGCACTTCACATAACAATTCGTATTTGGTAACACATAAGTTAGCAATCTCGCCTTTTCATTCCCTATACAACATGATGCCATGAAAAGTGTTAGCATTGTCCTAAAATACAATCAACCCACGATGGTAGGTACGATTTCCAAGCGCCTTTATCATATAGCAATATGATGTATTCAAAGTGCAAGTCTATCCATTATAGTGGTCATGCACGACTATGATTTACGCCAACGAAAATGAAGACATTCGATCGCACGAACTATCGAAATAATGTGCAAATGTGACAAACTATCTTTAGTCGCCATTCTCTACTAGTTTCTTAATTAGCGCAAGTATACCATGGATAAGGAAGATCGTCCCTGATAAGATTTGGTTTAAATTTTCTATCAGTTACATGATAATTTAAACCTAATAAAATTGTATTATTTACTAAGTAATTTTTCCTTTTCATGGTACAAGTTTCCTTATTAAGTTGAACTTAACATTTATACATACACAAAATTGAGAGAACTCTAAATAAACATGTTTTAAACATGAACACAGAATATTTGATCAATAAAAATTTTATCCTCTTTGTGAAGTCAAATTAAAAGTATATTTTAGTTTACTAAGAACTTAAAATTAATATCACTATTTCCACTACAAAAAGGAACTAAATGAAATTTAAAACAGATCTAGGTAGTTACATAAAATTAAGTATTTAAACATTGTCGGGTAATAAAACATAATTATGCCCATGAATTTTCTACAAGTCCAATTCTGTTAGAAATCTAACTACACAGCCATAAATTCCTGATCTTGTTAAAATAAGTTAACATGTAATTGGATTGAAGAAACTATATTAAAGCTGCTGAATCAAGTTCAGTTCAGTATTCTGCTAAGATAAAGTAATAATTGTGTGACTACAATGTTTCAATACTTTTGATTTTTAATACAGGTATTGTTACTAAAACACAAAATTACAAACTCATTTGTTATAAGTATCTATATGAATTTGTTATTTCATGTTTTAGTAACAGGATCTGTGCCATGAATCAATACAATTAAGACACGATTTTTGATTAGCTTAGCAGAATTGACACCTGGACTAATGCAATTAAAAAACACCCACACAAATTTTGATAACAAAGTTTAGTATCTTCAAATCATGCTTATGTACTAAAGTATTTGTTTTATTGAATTCTGTAAAGTAGACCAAACAAACAAATTATGAAAAGTAAATAGAACCTATTTGATCAAACATATCTGAGAATTGTAAAATTTGTTGGTTTAACAAAAAAATGTCACACATTTTTATATAAGTTAAACAGTTCTAATTTTAAAAAAAAACTTTGTTAACTGTTCAGGTTAAACTAGTAACAATAAAATTCACAAGTTTAAACATTTATTACATTACCATGAAGTATGTACCTTAGCATGTAATCTAAAATAATTTTCTATACAAGCATTTCTGACCATATAATTTAAAGCAAGTCCTAGCTTCTAAAATAACTTGAACAAAATGCTAAACATTCCCTTGTTTACTATTTATTACAGTATATTCAAATGCAGTGTTGAATTATGTTTAACTTATTCATAATTACTTATTTAAATTATTTTTAATCTTATATTACAAATTATAATACTTCTAGCACTGATCTATTCACTGCATTTAAAAGAAACTAAATTAGGTTTTCTTTTATTTTAAACAGGCCTGTAACCTAGAGAAGTTTTTGGATGTGACTAAATCAGCTTTCTCTAAGCCCTGCCTGTGAGCCTGTACTACTTCTTAGCTTTAGTAGAGTTCCCTTGTTTGTTAGGAGGGGTCCAGCGCAATGCAGATGGATCTATTGACAATCGAGGCTTTTTAAAGTGTGAACTTGCCAACTGCTCTGATACAATTTTAGGGGTGACACAGATCACATGCTGCCCCTTCCAATACTTAACCATATTCATAGACTGCAGTGTTGAAATTATGTCTGTTTGAGAAATACCAGTCATCTGACTGAGATCTTTGATGCTCAGTGTTCCCCTACTAGCACTTAAAACTTCCAATAAAACATAAGACCAATATGATCTGTAACTTAGTTTACCAAGGTCAGACAGAGGCTTCTCAGGGCTACCAACAACTTGTTCTAACCTTGATAATTCATAGCTGAAAGCTATGAGCAACTTGCCATATCCCTGTCTTTGATAAGGAGGAAGTGTCAATATACAGGCTACATTATTTCCCTCAGGAGAATCTTTCTCCTTAGAGAAGTAACCAACAAGATGTGCTCCTTGCTTATCAACTTCACACAGTATATAGAATAAAAACTGTTCTATATCAAAATATAAAGTTTTATGATCTAAAAACAATTTTGCCAGCAAACATAGGTTTTGACAGTAAATTTTGTGTTCCTTACCGTCTGCTTCAAATATAGCTATTGTACCTTTCCTATAAATCTCGCTTCCTTGCGGTTGTCTTGCAGTGCATTCACTCAAATGATATCTGTATGTCTTTTCCATCCTCATATATTTTAAACAGTATTCACAGATCCACAACTTTGATTGCTTTCCATATTCATCTGGATAAGGACTGAAATACCATGTGTCGATTTCGTATTTACCAATTTGGATACGGTCAATGTATTTAACTTTAGTTATCGCTTCATGTTCTTTCTCGAGAGCCGCTGTTGTGGGATCCATCTCCGCATAGGTCTTCTGAACGTGGTTGATTTCATCGTGTTTACGTTTTTGATTCCGCGTTATTTTTCTGCCGGATTTATCAGTGAGAAGATGATCAGAGTTTATGTTGTTATTTGATTGCTCGCACATGTCAAACCTATCAGACATGACCCGGTGGCGCGAAACCCACTCATCCAACCTCCTATCGTAGCCCACATAGTGCACATAATATTCGTAGGAGGATTCCGCTGCGTTAAACCGCGTTTGTATTATCTCAGCCGGGTGCCATGACTCATCCGAACGCCGCACCAAATAATGCTCCCCGATGTCCAAAGGCTGCTCTTGTGGCAATTCCGAGTCTTCGTGATCGATAGTACGACATTCTGCATTCGGTAACTCATTACTCACTATAGGTTTTTCTAATTCTTTATCACCTTTAGCCATAATAAATTATAGTTTATCAAACGGATCACGCAATACCGCGCAACACCATGTATCAAAGTAGCCATAATGCCATAGACAACAGAAATATAAATTCTAAACGCGCAAAACAAAATGACTAGTGATGTCTTTAGCAGTATATTCGGGAAAAATCGGTTGTAAACAAAATATGTATATTCTTTTGTATTTCTTAAAGGATAACGAAAGTACTACACAGTGAAATTATAGGTATTCTAAAGATAAATCCCTTTATTTTCAAAAAGACAGCGGATACTACTTCTATCTACTCAGAGCTAATAATAAATATGTTATCTGTGGCAATATTATAAAAAAAATAGGTCTATGGTTACAGTGTTGCCAAAGTATGAAAAACCCTTCATTTTGGGTATTTTCGAAATTAGATATTTTATTGTAACTGACAAGGTAATCTAAAAAATACAGTTCAGTTTATTGCAAATAAAGGACATGTATAATTGGGCATAATTATAGTATAAAGTGCTTGTATCGGTTTCTTATGTTTCCTAAGTAACCTTCCATTTTCAACAATTAAAATACTATTTAAAAACCTTTTTCGCTTTAGACAAATACATAATTACACTAATAGTGTTAAAGTTTGTATAAACAAAGTTCTCCGATCTGTACCCTAATTTAGAGAGTCAAGCACAATGGCATAAGTCAACTTGGAACTCAGTGTGCCATTTTTGAATACATAGTCCAACTCATTTTACTCAAAATAAATTTTAACAGTATATTCCTCCTCCATCCTTAAATAAGGGTTTAAAAAATGGCGCTGGCACTCCGGGAGTGCCGACTGAAGTGGAAACTCAAATCTCTAAAAAAGCATAACAAAATATAAAAACAAATAAGTTAACTCATCTCAAAAAAAATCTATGAATCTAAAGAGCTGCTTATTCACCTTGAAGAAATGAACAAAAAAACTGAACAAAATGTAAACAAAATGATATTTAAAAAATATACATGTGCTTACTGTCGGCTTCGAACTCAGGGCCTCTTGCACTCAAGGGAGCATATATTGCAATAGACTAAGCCAATACTAACGACGTTGCGCAAAATTAAAATACACATACTCATGAGAGTGTCGCGGGTTGTCGTCGGTGTCGATCACAGTGTCACGAATGGAAAATGCCCACCGCGCATAAAGAAGTTTTACTTCCAGAAATATTAATATGAATCAGAACTTTTTTCTCGTTGCTTTTTCTAAAAACCATACCTAATAAATTAATATTATAAATTAAAACTGAACTGATCGAATAAATTAAAACATTTGAAACTGTCTAAACTAATTTTTGGAGAAGTTTTAAAGCAAGACCTAGCAACACTGCCTATATCGCACTCAGTCGGTCGGCGAAGAAACGTCTTCCGAGAGAACGAACGTTTATGAAAAATTTTGTTCTTATCGCTAGTAAAAAGATATGAGAATAATATTGTTATCTAAAAACTGTGTATTTGCCTTTTATTAGTGTTTAATGTGATGTAACTGTGTTGAAAAATCATTTATACGTGATAATCAGTCTGTGAAGTGTCACTAAATCAAGATTAGTTGGAGCTCCCTAGCCGTGCTTTATTAGTGGAAACGATTCAATAGAGCCGAGAAATGCAAGCGATTAAATGTGTTGTGGTCGGAGACGGGTAAGTTAACAAGATTTACAAGTTACTGACGATTACTACGATATCTTTCCAACCCTCACTTTTAGATTAAATTGGTAAACTGTCGACTGACGTCATATTTAAATTGAAACGTCTTGATAATACGTACGTACTACTGCATTTCGTAGCTACGCGCGGATTTAGAATTGAGTGTCCGCATGAACAGCGATAACATTATATTAAAAATAAGTCATTGTGCATTTTGTAACAGCCATATGAATAGTAAGCTCTGCTGATACGATAAAAAAATAATACACTCATTAGTTATTGTTTCTTAAATGGTAACAATCAGTTTCGTAATGATACTTACTCTATGATTCATAGAGTTATCAGTAGATACCTTTTGTACAAACTATGTGTCTGAGAAATAATCTCTGTGTCATAAAATAACCTCTTCCATTATTTAAGGAGGTAGTCAACACAGTAATAATTAAATAACACAAAATATGTAATTGATATAATAATTACTATTAACTTTTCAATATTTTTAAGCTTTCATGTAGTTGGTGGAAGATAAGTTACCCCCTTTTCAGACAACAATAAAAGACCAAATTCTTTGTTAAAATACACTTCTAGACTTTTTAGTTTAACTCCATGTTGGAGCTGATTATTGAAGGTGATGAAAAAAAGTATGCTGGCTGTCAAATTTCCTATGCAATCTGCAGAGCAATAGGCCATCACCACACTGGGTTGATGCAGACACTATTGTTTTGAATAAAGTTTGATAATGGATGTTAAGGTGATGGGAACACATGTTTGACAACGTTGCTGTAGATTGATACAGACAGGGTGCTCTTCATCACCTGAATAATGAAATATGTGCTATAATTATATTACTAGAATTTTCCAAGCCATATGACAAAGTATCACATAACATCTTACTAAATATAATGGGGTCAGCAAAATGAGGTATGACATAGACTTGGTTCAAGTCATATTTGAAAAACTGGACTTACTGAATTTTTTTTGTATTTATTGTTTTACCTCGATCATTCATAAATTTGTGTAAATATACTGTTGATTGAAAATTTTACTAGAAAAAAAAGTGCATCTGCCAAGATAGCGGAGTGTGCAATTTTGAGTTTATTTTTTTTCTAGTAAATGTTCTTTAAATTTAAACATCTAGCAGTTATAATATGCTTAAAAAATTAGAATATCACTATAATTGCTATTTCTTATTTCAAATGTTCAATACTTGTAAAGGTATTGATTTGACATTGTTTACCTACAATTTGAAGAGTTGGCGCTGCCTTGCAGCCTAAGGCTAGAGAAAATTCGATACGGCCATCAGGGCTTTGCAGCATAAGAAATGCTAGAGAAAATTTGACACGGATAATTAGGGCCACGTTAGCAAAATGGTCAGTGTATCCGCCCTGATAGCGGAAGATGCAAAAAGTGTGTTTTGGACGCTACAAATTTTCAACCGGAGTGAACCACAACAGAGCTGTGCCATCACACGTTTGGCCGCCACGGGTAAATATTAGCTACCATAAAATTTGTTATAAAATCACAATGAGTGAACCGATTTTGATGTTTTAAAAAAGCATATTAATTAAAAAGCTTATTAGATCATTTTACTGTTGATTCTGACCTAGTAACAATCCTCATTGTTAATTTTAATCTAACTACTTTTTTTATCAATTTTAACGGATTCAATTTCTAATTGTTTGATAGGATTTGACTAAATATTATTAATTTTATATTGTATATTACAATAGTGTAAAAAAAAAATATGTAAAAATCAATTCATAGATGTGAGTTTGAGTTGATATAATAAATAAAAACTTTTAAGGGAATAAAAATAAAAATAAAAGAATATAGATAGGTCGAAATAAATTTAAAATAAAGTATTTGGGTTCCAGGCCTACCTCAATAGACTCGCTGGAAGGGCTTTGGAATATAATCGCTAGATGGGTTGAAACAGAATCCAAACTCACCTTGGGTGGTCCTTAGATTTACAATTTAGACTAAATTGATTGAACCAACTTTGAAGGTCCCCCATTTTTTGTTATTGAAAATAAAAAATAGATATATATGTATATCCTTTTCAAAGAGCTCTAGACAATAATGTGTCACATGTGGGGTAAAAAAGAAAAAAAAATCCCTTTAGTCCAGGCAACAAATGCTCAAAAACAGGTATAGAGGGAAATGCTTGGAACACAATTTTTGACTTTGTAACTTTGTTAGGACTAGTTAGGAGGTAAACATATCAAAAGTCCCCGCCCGTAGCCCTTAAGCCGGGGGGAAGGGGAGGGATTTTTTCGCATATATCTCGGAAACTATGCATCTTAGCGACATGAAACTTTGACAAAAGTGAAAGCTGATTAAATTTGCTTCAAGTCTTATTCAGTCAAGTTTTTTGATATCTTGTATAGTTTTCGAGATATCCGCTCTTGAAAGTCTGTAGTTATGGAAAAAAATATTTGCCACCACTTCCTGGGAATGCCGTTTTACTGCTCCCTCGGTGGGAAGAAGACAAGAGATATCAGGCTTGATGGTGGCCACTGATTTCAAGAATGACTTGTACCTGTAGCACAGAATATATACACTACGCGAAAAGAAGCGACACTTAAGCATGTGTGCTCGTAAAATCGCCCGCGGCTATGTGTGGGTGTCTGGAGGTGCGCGGGGGCGTTGCGCGGCGCGCGGGACTTGGAGAGGGCAGTCGCCGACTGCCTCGACCGAAGGCATGGCAGTAGCGAAATAGTAAATTAATAGCGTTGCACTGCATTGCACGCACAGACTGACTACGCTACGCAATCTTATTATTATTTAGATAATAATAAGAATTATAAAACGAATCGAAAAAGGAGAAAATATATAAAAGTTAGCAATTTGTTATAGTACCTACATTAAAAGATTAAAAATTGATTATAAAATCAAACTTATCCTTCATTGCTTACCCCAGTATCCTTGAATCAGTTTACATTTAATAACTTACTATGCATAAATATTCATTGGCACAAGTCTAAATTCCAAGTTCAACCCTAGCGCATACACGCTCCTGCTCAAGGTCACTGACGCTGGATCTCTCACGTACAGAGAGTGTCACCGCTGTGCCTGTAGGCATTGAGGGAAATCTCTTTAGCTAGACCTCCATACCACCTTAAGATGCAGGTTCCACCTGCCTTTTGTACTTGAGCGGTGGTGGAGAAAGGGTGTGAAAAGACCGCTGCTGCTTTCTGGATTTCTGGTGACTTGATAATGTCTCTGGTCTCTGGGAAGGGAGGAAATTTCTCAAACCAATCGGTGAGCTTGGCAATGTCAGCTCCATCCTTGTTTTGGCGGGCTTGTCCGAAATCTGCATGTTGCTCACTGGTGGAACCAACAACCCTACGGCCGGCATTGTTGAAGAGTTATCCGGTCAAATAAAGCAAAAATGTGAAGCATTTTTTTTTTCCATAATTACAGACTTTTAAGAGCGGATATCTCGAAAACTATACAAGATATCAAAAAACTTGACTGAATAAGACTTGTAGCAAATTTAATCAGCTTTCACTTTTGTCAAAGTCTCATGTCGCTAGAATGCATAGTTTCCGAGATATATGCGAAAAACCTAAAAATGGGACCTTCAATCCCCCCCCCCCCCCCTTCCCCCGGCTTAAGGGCTACGGGCGGGGACTTTTGATATGTTTACCTCCTAACTAGTCCTAACAAAGTTACGAAGTCAAAAATTGTGTTCTAAGCATTTCCCTCTATACCTTTTCGTTGCCTGGACTACTTTTTTCATGCATGGAATT